GACGGAAACCGGGGACTGCATCTACCTGATGAGCCCCAAGAAGGGCGAAACCGGTCGTGGGCTGTCGACGGATTTTCAGCAACTTTATGCGTAGTATATGACAAACATAAACTGATAATAATGTTGATCATGTTTACTACCCACCTGGTAGGTGGACTACAGTTAGGCATGATGATAATGTTGAAGTATGACAGACAGGATTTATGGGTACTGGTGATTGCGCGAGGAAAAGACGGTGTCAAATAAAGTGGGCGTTATCCGATGTAGACGCGTCACGCCTAAGCCGACTTATTGAGTGAAACACAGTTACTACCGCTCCTTTTCCTTTTGGGGAACATTTCAAGCTGAAGCAAATTCATGTCTTTGTGATTTGATTGAGGCGCGCGGATGCAAAACGAGGATGGGCAAAACAAGAGGCATCCTGCGAGTTGCAGAAATAAGAGGAATCGGAAAAATTGGACCTGAATAAGCAGCAGAGTTGGCGTGCACCTGCCGAACGATCTGAACCAAGACATAAAACCACCACTGAGGTCTTGTGGCCTTGGACTTTTGAGCTTATGACCGTTGTCACAAAAGGCGTGAGTGAGGATGATGAAGTGGAGTCATTAGTAATACCGATAAGTAGCAGCGGAAATATCAATCACGGTGCACGGTGAAACTTTAGAGACTAATTGATGTCGATGTTATAGTGGAGTTTAGTGAAAATTTGAGGTAGCGCTAACACGCAAAGCAGAAAGCAACATGTACGGAAAATAGTGATTTGGCGGAAGAGCAGACTGAAAGTTCAATTAGACAGTTAAATCCAAAGGAAAGGTTCAGCAGCTAAGAAATAAAGCGTCCCGGAAGCGGGTAGCGCAAGGTGAACAGTCTGTTTGCACTTTCAGGCGAGGGAAGGAGCGGATGAGAGAGTGCAGTGAAGATCAGAACGGGAATAGTTGATAGTGTGCTATCAACTGAGTATGGCTAACACGCAAAGCAGAAAGCAACATGTACGGAAAATAGTGATTTGGCGGAAGAGCAGACTGAAAGTTCAATTAGACAGTTAAATCCAAAGGAAAGGTTGAGCAGCTAAGAAATAAAGCGTCCCGGAAGCGGGTAGCGCAAGGTGAACAGTCTGTTTGCACTTTCAGGCGAGGGAAGGAGCGGATGAGAGAGTGCAGTGAAGATCAGAACGGGAATAGTTGATAGTGTGCTATCAAACTGAGTATGGCGGTGCCGTAACATCGTCACGCCGACATACTTCTGTTTCTGGATAATCTCGTGACAGGCGTCATGTTTCAGAAGGTTGGGCTGGGATGTGCAATTTTGTAAGCAGCGGGATATTTTGGGTTGGTCACGGGAATCCGCAGAGGTAGACCGAAGCCCATGTTTTTTTCCGCCTGTGGATCCCTACGGATGTGATTCATAGGCCAAGTAGAGTGCATAACGGCCAAACAAGGCGTTCGAAGCAGGAATTAACGCAGGTCGAAGTGGTGTCCCTGTTGATGGTTTACTTTCGCTCTAAGTGTTAGTTAGAGCCTCTAATAGCCAATGGCACTACCCATGAGCAAAGTTGGCTCTTCTGGCAGGTTTTTGAAGGTGTCGGCTAAATCGGCCCTTCAGTTTTTGGGTAGGTGCGGCTGTGAAACCGAAGAAAGTACAGCTCCCTGGAGCGAGTCAGTTGTCACGTGCGTGGCGGCCAGTTTAGACGGATTTGCTCTAGACCATGCTTCCTCGGGAAGGGTAAGTTAGAAGATATGTCGATAGTAGTCAACATTATCTCCTGCCGTCGAGATAAACGGAATGGATGACGTGTAGACAAAGACAGCCACCTTTTCAGTGGCCGTACAAGAGCAATAGTGCTAGAGAGGTGCCGTAGGAATGACATGGATGCTATGAAAAGGGTTATTGGAGGCCAGCAAGCGGATTTCATACGAAACCCACATAAATTATCCGTTTCCCAAGCAAACCCACTTCAAGGGCCAAGTCTCTTATTGTCGAATTGTTATGAATTAATTCCCCATAATCATTTATATGTTTATCGCACGCATTTTTGTATCCATATTAATCCAGCCAACTCACTTAATTACAGCGGTGTGGTTTTTCCTGCCATGATACGCTTAAAATTAGTTTTGTACTTGCCTCGCGAAAGATCTTCGCTAAATGTGATTCGGGTTTCCACCAGTCGCCTGCAATTTCTGTTCCGTATTCTTCTATTTTGTGAGCAAGTGCTGACTAGATCCGAATTTTTTGTCTCCTATACTTTGGGATCTTGAACGTCTATCCAGTCGATTTCGTCTGGACAGCGATCATTGGAAATTACCCGTTAGTGTGTCCCCTGAATGCCCACAATCAACCTCTTTCTGTACCACTACGGAGAATTGCGAAACCGTGAACCTGATGACCGCTTGCTGTATTTAGCCGGGATGTGGCCGTTACATGGCGGATGGCGCACACACACTTATTTGCTTTCGGCACTGGAAGGAAATATCCTCGGCCTCCAATGTAACGCTTCCGACTTTATGTCCCAAATGATTGGAATTCCTGTCTCGCAATGCAACTAGCTGCCACGAAAATCAATGCCTCTGTTTTTGCCGCTCTTTCCCACAACTTCCAACAGCCAACTGCTGTGTTAGTTCCAACCTACCCAGCGGCGCCAAATCCTTGACGCGTTTACGCCTCATTTACAGAGGAGCTCCAAAAGCCTTGCATTTTCTCAGGCCGATCAGTGAAATGGAATAGCCACCAAGGCTTTACTCGACACCATCGCCCCTCCCACAGATCGAAATGCTAAGGATGTTTGTGAGAAAGCACCGTCCTCCAAAACTATCCGGTATACGATAGTCTTCATGTAATCCTGATCTTCCCGCCATTCATGTCAGCAGTAGCCCGGCATCTGCTAATTGCACTCACCGAGACCTAATGAATTGCCAACTATTTCTTGAAGACTCTCAAGATAGTAAAATCTGGAGCACACGCCGTTCTTGCTCTTGCTATTTGGCTTTGCCTTGTCCCCCCAACTATTTGGCGTCACTGTGCACTGAAAACCATGACATGCGTTGCAGCAATACCTGTAGTTTATTGGTGGCCAATGACCTGTCTGTCCTTCGGACGAACCCGCTTCCTCTTTTTTTCTACCCAAACCTCACTCACCGCGCCCCTTACATTACCCGTGGAGAACGAAAATATCTTTGCCGCGGCCATTTACCTCGAAGACTTGCACTGTTGCAGTGCCACTAAATACTTCTGTTCCTAGTGATTCTCCGCTCATCGAAAATAGCGATCAGTATTTGCCTTCGCTTGTACAGCTTTTTCTAACAAGGCGGATTCTAAATTCGTTAATACCTTTTGTCCTTCATAAAATAACTGCGCACCTGTTTGATTTTGGTAAATTCCAAGCTGCAAAGTATATTGCCGCCTTTCGTTTGTTCTAAAAAATATTTTAAAAAATAGAAAAAATGTATAAAAATATAAAAAAACATTTATGCATGTGGTAGCCTGAGAGTATCGTGTGAGGCTCGCGACTAACGCCGACGTGCAATGAGTTGCCACCTTCATCTTGGTGGGGTCACATCACCCTTCATAAAACTTCATCGCCCAAACATAGCACACACGTTCTTCCCTCTTGTCATCAAGAGCGATCATATGCACAAAATGCTAATTATGAATTGAGAAATACAAGAACAACAAGGTGAGCATAGGGAGCGTGTTATGACATAAATCGGTCAGGCCTTGTTTTTTACATAGACAAAAGTGCGGAACAATGATAGAGTCTGCTCAAAGTATAGTAGGTTAGAATTAGTTGTTTGTACTCGTTCCAGATCCGCACACTTTCTGGCAAACACGAAGCTGTCAACACTAACATTGGTATTATAACGGACTCAAGCAGGCCTCTGAGAAGGCAAGCGAACATTACGAAACTTCGTCGTTTCTTCGGAAGTGAGCACGTGCCACCACGCTATATGTAATTTCTGATGCATTAAAAATGCGTGAAGTTCGGCATGTGGGTCAACACTGACCTCTCCAGGGTTTATGCACCTGGGTAATCGCAAGTTATCGAGCTAAGAAGGCTAGACAACCCGTTCTCCCAGTAAGTGCTATCGACGTCTTTTAACAGATTATCCCAACCGAGAACACGGAGAATGCGGTAGAAACTTGCCTAGTATTAACCATGGATCATGCGGTGTGCATACATGGGAAATAACACCTCTGTACGACAACGATTTCGTCGGTAAATTAGAGGTGATTGCAAGTGCATCAGAATCTCTAGCACTTGCCTAGTATTAACCATGGATCATGCAGTGTGCATACACGGGAAATAACACCTCTGTACGTCAACGATTTCGTCGGTAAATTAGGTGCGATTACAAGTGCATCAGAATCTCCATCCCGATGCACCCTTAGGACACGCGCCGGTGGCAATGGCCCGTCGTTATATTTCTCTCTCCAGACGTGAGTTCCGTTGTATCAGTGGCTGACAACACCGCGCGATCATTGAAGGACTAGTTTCTCACATGGAAATCTCCCTTTGACACGAAAGCACTAATTCCGTCAACCAAGTAATTGGCCTTTGCAGATTGCAGCAACGACTTTCAGTAGTCATCAGTATATAGGTTATTGTGGATTGCGAGACGGGTTGTGATGGCAAAACCTGAGCCAAAGTCCTTGATTGCCTTTCGCAAGGGGAACAATGCACAGAAGGCGGAGGATTTGGCGCCAAACGGGTGTGGCGCCCATCGAAATACATTTGGTTCTTCAGAGAATCCATTTTCACATTAAATGAATTTTAGACAAGCTCTATCACACGGGTCAACTTTGGCCTGCAGGAACATCTCTTTGATGTCCACTGCCACTGCAACCCACCCTTAAAAAAGCCGAACATAATGTGTACAGGATTTCCGGTTGAATCGGGGCCCTGATGGAGGTGATCGTTCAGAGATGCACAATGACACTTGGCAGCGCACTCGAAAACAACCCAAACGTTTTCTGGCTTTTTGGGTTAATGACCGGATCGTGTAAGAGGCGTCACTGCTTTTTATTTGACGACGATTTGAGGGGCACCTCTCACCCGTTTCATGTGCCACTTCTGCAGGCACGCGCGAAGCACGCTATCGTGATTTACGTGGCAATCATCATCCTTGAACGGTTACCGCGTAGAGGAAGTGCTCTATCCTTGCACGTGAGTGAAAGCTGGCAGTGTGTACGACAGCTTCCGCTATCAATAGTCTTTGATCCTCTAAAGTGAGACTAGCGTTGGATGCTGTAGCGTCTGTGACTTCCGAGTTGTGTAGCCGCTGCAAATGCTCCTGGACGCCCTGACTTCACCCCGTTATACAATGACTGACAGCTTTCTGCCCCGCCTCGACTCCCATCAAAACAAGAACTATCCAACAAGAAGTATCCATGGCAAATCGCCGCTTATTACCCCCTGGCGCCGATCGGGTACTCAGTGCGCTTCGGATACGTCACATATAAGAAGGGTTCCTACGTTGTCTTCAATCAATGCGTCAAGGTGTGGCCAAGAGTTGGCCGCTTCTCTGATAGATGGGACAGCTCGCATGAGTAGATTGCCAACGAAAAATTCCCTGTCAATATCCACCGACTGACTTTCGTCCATTGATGAAAGCTTGCTATTATTGGCCTTGGATGTGCATCCCATGGAACCACCTAATGTACCAGTGGCCTTGATGGTGGATAGCAGACGACGCGGTTTTTTACCAGGTCATACCGGACCTCTCATCTAAAAACGTGCGCGCCGTCACCTTTCTTGCAGGGTGCCAGGTGTATTATAAATAACTCCTTGCCTACTTGCGTAAAGGCAAAACCCTCCGCCTCCGAAGACGTCCCTGCTTTGTTTCTGGATTTTGATGCATGTAACAACTCGATTGGCCACATCGAACAAATCATTTGCAATCTTTAACGATGTGGGAGTCTCCTATGCAATTAGGGCATACATTATGACCCCGTAAGCATCTTCTTCAATTAGTAACTTTCATCAATAGACTGCGCTATCAAACGGAAATTAGGAATAATGCTGTGAACATAATAGGCAAGTACTTGGACTGCCGTCTGCGTCTGGCCTCAGGTTGTACAGGACACTCGTGAGATCACAACTTCTAGAAGCATGGCTGGTAGAGGTTGTGGCACAGCAGGGCGTCTAATGTCACCTTTCCAACCCGTTTGCGCAAGCAAACTTGCTGCAATCCCGCAGCTCGTGTACAAAACTCTGCCAAGTCAGCGAACGATGGGTCCCGACTAATCAGCGATACTTTATCAGCCACTTTGGCCCATTTGTGCAGCGAAGGTGAGGGAGAAAAAGTCAACATACTTCGCTTACCGTGAGTGAGTGCAAAATGAAACATCACACAACTGCGTTAGCGCAATTCTACGACTTCGTACCCCTATGCACAAGTCCGACAGATACTTGGCTGCTCCAGTGGCCAATCGGTGCTGGCTTCCAGGTAGACAGTGAGCAATAAGATGAGGTTGGTCAAAATATTGCGCGGAATCTCTGGCCATTGTGTACGCTACTTATGGCGGGAGCGCCACACAATCTTCACTGTCTACCTTCCCGTCATATCGACAGTAGTGGGTCAAATACATGTCCCTCTTACCGACGTCCTCTACGTTGCTGTAAACATCTCCAATTGGCCTGCACACCTCTAGCAATAACTTGGAATGACATCAAATTACGATGGTTCTACCTTAAGTAATTATATAGTGGCTCTCACAGTGGTGATTGACATGGCCGGTTGTGGCCTCGGAGGTGACCACCTGATACCACCAGCACATTTATTTGCAGGGTTTCAGGTAGTGTTAACTGGTCATTTGGGGCCACCTGTTCCCAGACTTCATCTCGGGAATCCTCTGTTCCCCCAGCTGTATTTTAGCTAACTTCAGTTCGCTCTGTACCTCTAGGGGAGCCCGCTGGATTTCTATCACTTGCTTAAGCATGGAGCTAAGCAATGCTTAACGATTTCAAAGCCACGCTGTTTTCGCAAATAAATGAACACAGAGACACACAGGAACCGGGCGCACGAAGTGTAATGAGACCAAGTCGGTTTATGGTGTTCAACTCTGACACGCACACGAAGATGAGCTGGCATTTCGTAAAATGCGGAATCGTTGTAAGTCGGAAATCCGCCAATGGAACATACGAAAACAAGCCACCATTCTGGACCTCGCTCGAAAAAACGAAAACGTACTGTTCAAGTACATGAGACATCGCCGCAGAAATAAGCCATCTGCGTTCTCCTTGAGGGACAGAAACGGAGAACCGACGAATGACCCAACAGTGGTATCTGAGGCTTACAGAGAACACTATGCGTGTCTATACTCAGCCCCAGCGTCCTCGTCACATCCACTCTTGTCAAGGAGAAACTACGAACAGCCTCTAACCGACTTGGTCTTCACGGTGGAGGACATTCGTCAACTCTTGCACAAGATCAACCCATTCTGCGCGTTGGGGCCCGACGAGGTCCATCCAAGGATCCTGAAAGAAACGTCCTCCACACCGGCAAATCATCTCCACCTAGTGTTTTGCCAGTCGCTTGACGAAGGCCCTCTGCTTGGAAGGAAGCGATTGTCACGCCAATATACAAAACTGGTGACCGACTATCGCCTGGCAGCTATAGGCCTATAAGCCTCACTAGCGTGCCGTGCAAGGTGATGGAACGCAT